GAAATTCAGTTAGCCTGAAACTAACTAACTAGCTGAAATAAGACAACCATTCACCAGACCAACTGGTACAAATGATCACTTTTAAGACTGTAAATGGAATGTCTAAGTTTCTTTGTAAGTTACATCCTCCAGATACCGAGCACAGGGTAGAAACGAGATGATTTGAAGTTTTGTACCTATGAACCCTTCTTTGTTTTTTTGGAAAGGCTGTTGCAAAGCTTCACACTGATTGCCAGAAGTCTTTAATTTCTGGTCTAAATTTTCTCACAGACAGTTTATAGACATTTTCTCTAATATCAGTTTATTCTGTTAGCTTACATCACTTACTGAATTTGCTGTTTACCGACTCTAATGTAGTTCAGATAACAACTAGGTTTCTTTCTCAGCTTTTATTTATCTGAAGTTGAACAGGGCAAAATCTTCTGGACTTCGTTTATAAAACAAGAGCTTTCTACTTGTTTTCTGGAGCATTTCTATCTTGAACTAATCTATAGCACTGGGTTAATACACAACTGTACATTGGCATTGCTCCCTTCCTCAATCTTCTGGAAACACCTTGTCCAGTTAATATTCATAGTATCCATTTCTATTCCAGCATTGCCTTGACGGTGCCTGGGATGAGTGATGGCACCATGGAGTTGCTATCCTTCTCCAAAGGGTGTCCTCCCAACTTCTTCTGACTGTAAGCCACACACCCTGACTGACACACAATCACGTATCTCCCTATTTTATTAATTCCATCCTTGAGTAAACCAAATTCTTCTCACTTCAGTTTGCCTTTGATTGAACCCACGCTTTCCCCTCCTTGTCTTTAATGGTTCATTATTTCATAATTTGTTATAAAGCTTTGCACACCACTCTTGTCAGACGACATATCTGTTTCTGCCTTGCTTGTCATTTCTCCCTTTCTTAATGACAGCTATTACACTTTGTGTTCTCCAATCTGAAAGTGCTACCAATCTTTTTGATGGATGGATTAAAATTTCTCTCTAATGCAACTGCAATTTTATGTGCCCACTTGTTCCATTTGTTTCCTTGATGGGAGAATCTTTAACTCTACTTTCCTGCTCATGCTTTTGCCTTAGAGGAGATTGTTTCCACCCCTGTTGCCCTCAGTCATCTTGACTTTACTTCTGTGTTTTATTTCAATAAATCTCAAAATAATCTTTCTCACCTACTACATTCACCAATGCCTCTTAATGTCCCTGTTCTTATTAAAAATTGACATGAATTGTCTATTTAATTTGGAGTTTGAATGTATACAAACATGCAGCCCACTCTTAATCTGCATCAACCTCACTTCTTTCCTTATGCTCCTCTTGTTTTCATTATGATGACTTCTGTTTTTACATGGGCTGATTTGTTGTGAATTTGGGAAGTTAGTTCACAGCCCTTTTTGACACCTGAGAGGCTTTTGTCACTGCTGATCAGGCCTCTTTTCTGTCCTTCAGGGCCCTTCTATCCTCTTGTGGTTCTTGAGGAGGTGGTTGGGTTGGCTGCTCTCATCAGAATAGTATCATAGAAAAGCCTAGGAGCCCTGGAGATACCTGGTCCAACCTTCTGCTGTGAGTGGATTATCTAAGGACCCCATCAAACCCAGTGTTGAATACTTGAAGCCAAGTTCCACCACTTCTTTGGGCAACCCACTCTGACATTTACTTTTTCTTATGCTGAAGATTCCCCTGAGGCAACTGGAGCCTGTTGCACCCTGTCCATTCATCACGCATCTGTGTGAAAAGAATACCTCCATCTTCTTTGTAACTACCCTTTGGGTAGTGGAAAACTGTAATTAGATACTCCTGAACCTTCTTGTCTTGTGGCTGGACAAACACAATTCCTTCAGTCTTTCTTCATAAGCAGAGATCTGCAACCCTCTAATCACGTTAGAGGTCATTGGTAAAACCTTCTCCCATTTTTCAGTGTCTCTCTTGAGCTGGGGAGACTATACTGGGTGAGTCTCTACTGGGGAGACTAAGCGGGGTGCACTACACTGGGTGTGGACTAAGAAGTGCCAAGCAAAATGGGAGAAAAAAACATCCCATGACCCTGCTGCTGATGCAGCCCAGGATACATTTTGCCTTTGCTGCTGCAAAGACGAAATCCACTTCCATTCTGGTGTCCACCAGCACTTCCAGGTTCTCATCAGCAGACCTACACTCCTGTCTGTTGTATTTTATTTCTTTACTTTTAAGGTAAACTCTAAAGACTTTTGTACTTATGACTTGCAGAAACCCTGGTCTTGCTTCACATTTATCTTTACCTTCTGGCCCACTGACTAATTCCTTCTAATTAGAAACTTGTCAAAATGTTTCTTTTTGAAATTAAAACATAATTGTTTACTGAAAAGTTACAACTCATGTGACAACATCCAGTCTTAAGAGAATTAGCACCCACCATAATAACATCTTCCCCAGTAATACTTACCTTCTCAGTCATACTGTATTTTATTATAATTCATCTTTATCCAACCAGGGCACTGGATAGTGGATATCTTATATGACTCCAGAGGAATGTGTTTTACTATTGTATTTTATCCAGGTCCCCTTTTTTTTTTTTTACTCCAAGATATTCCTTCAGACATTCTGACTTTTAGCTCTTTCTGTGACATAAAAAATTTCTTCATCATCCCAGTTTTTACTTCTGCTCTTCCTAAACTTTTTGTCTGTACTTTAGGCATGTCTGCTACTTCCCTATTTCATTTTCATTATTTCAGCAGTAATTCTGGAGTTACTACAAGTCCTACAGACTTCCTAAGCCTGTGAATATCAGTAAAGTACAACCTTCTGATTTGAGGTGACTAGAAAATGTGAATGCATTCCTTCTTCACCTAATCAACACTTCATTATTGCTGATTCCCTGACAGTTCCTGCAAAGACTTCCTTGGAAGAAGAGGAGGAACTGACGCATCCCACCAGAGCCTGCTCTGAGTGTATTTCAAGCTACAATGCCAGAAATTAGAGGTTTTTTAATAGTTTTCCATGTTTACCTGTGTATAAGATTCATGACTTCTTTCGAATATTTAATTGCTTCTTCCATCAATATTTATTTCTGTTCATGTGTCTGTCTACTTGATTATTCTGATTCAGAATCTAGTGTAAACATTTTAATTTCATGCTTCTCATTTCATAGACCATTCATCTTGGGTTCTTAAACATTTCAGGTAAGATTAGGAATTGTTGCAAGATAACTTATGTCTTCATTAGCAAAAGGCACAATACTGTAGGAGCAGATTAGTAAATTAAAAAAATTGGCATTGAGGACCCAACTTCCAGATTGTGTTTGAGATTATTTTGAACTAGCTCTACTCTGGTCCTGTGGCCTGAGCTCATGTTAACAATTGGAGAACACCAAGAGAGTTTCTGAAAACATTTACCAGATTTATTTTATCTGAAAGGAACTAATTTTTGGAGACTCCAAGAGTGCTCCCAAATGCAACTCAAATTTCAGTGAGTGGTGATCAGGAGACTGGTTTTAAGTTGCCATGTGTAGAACAATTGGCATACTGGAGTCTCTTACTGATATGCCATTTTAACTTATATGGGCAGGAAAAAAATTACAAGCCAGTCTGAAATGTCTTTGGTAATTTTTTTTAGCAACTATTGTACCAGAATTGCTGGTTTTCCAAAAGGAAATTCTCTTATGGAAAGGAGAGAGCAGTTCAAGTGCACTGATGGAAACCAGAATTGGTGTGCCTGAATTCCAAGTCCTTTGAAGTTGAAACTCAACTTGTATATTTACTTATGCAAAGCTGTGAAAGGGTTGTTGTACTTTACCTGTGCACATGGAGGCAGAGGTAGACCACCACAGCTAAAACCTGGTATGTCACGGCTCCTCTGCTACAGATATCCACACTTGCTAGATTAAAATAAACCAACAATAGCTGTCGTGACACATGCTACAGTTTCTCCTTCAATTTTACTGCACAGATATGCACAGAATAGGCTGATGTGGCAAACCACAGACATAGAAGAAGGATGAAGTAAGAGTCTAGAGCCCTTTACACATTAATACGAAACAGTAAGACTAGTTTAACTGGGAGGGGAAAGTTCCTTTCACAACTCTTTTTCATAAGTTTTGGAAGTTTTTTGTAATTGCCATATAGACTTTCCTAGATATTAATAACTCTCAAATACTAGATAAAATTAATACTCTTTCACAACAACCAAATAATGGTGCTAGGAAACCTATTCCCCCCTTTATGGTAACTAACTCATATAGAATTTAAAATATGAACATATGGCCCATTGCAGTGAATGAATCTATGCTGAGACAGACTTTGTCCATGCAGAACTAACTTGTAACTTTATTACCCCATATATATACAGAATAGGAGTCCGAGCTATCAAGCCAGGCCAGGTGTTTGTTATCCCCACACATACCACATGCCCACATGACTGCTTTTAGTCACAAAGAATATGCTTCAAGCGGCTTTCCAGCTTGATCTTGTCACTGTTTTCACATGCACTATTCTTAGCTCTGGCTCGCTCAGGACCACAATATTCTTACTTTAGTATTTTATTTTCCTTCTTTTATCATCCAAGTGGCCAGTGTTGTCTGTCCAGATGCTCGTACAGCCCCTCATCAGTAGAGCAATCTTGCAGTTGCTTAGCTGTCAAATTTAATGAAGGTGGCAGGAGTTTAATTAGCTCTGAGACTTTTGAGCCTCTCAAATTCGAAAGAAATTGCTGACTTTGCTCAGAAGTTACTGACAAGGAAGTAACTAACATCTAAAAAAACTGCCTAAGTCTCATTTCCTTAGGAAAAAAGATTAGCAACCCAACCTGCCACAGTACCTACATTTTGATTAAAGTATGCTACTTGAGATTGTATTTTGTTATTTTTGAAAAGAATGCTTTTGTAGTTTTGGAAACAAAATATTTGTTTGCTTTACTATCTTTTTAAAAACTTGCTTTATTTTAGTTTGGGGTCAGATACTCATTAGACTCTTCAAAAAAGCAACGGAAATGTAGTTCTCTCCTTTCTTGGTTTTGTGTTTTTGGTTTGGTTTGGTTTTTTGTTTGCTTGTTTGCTTTTTCATTTAAAAATAGTTCTTACTAGCTAGTTCAATCTTTACATTGCCTTAAGAGGATTAGAGGGTGTTCGTTCAGAGCACTTCACAGTTGTTAGTCCAGGCCTTTGAAAAAGGAAGATACACAACTTTAAAATAAAGTGCATCTCCACTTGACTCACAGTACCTCTTCTATAGGCAGACTTATTTCCTGTGGAGATGAAGAGGAAATGTTCTTAGGGTGTGAAGTAGCTTCTTCATTTTTTAACTACTAAAAAGCAAAGGTCTTGCGTATTTCTTCTTTCACTTTAAATTTGGAATCTAACTGGAAAGTCTTCGCAAGCAGACTCCTTTCATGAAGTTCTGTTCTAAGTAAAATGTTATCCATGGATGAATTTCTTGTATGCCTGACTTTCTGGTGTTCTCGTATGTGTTCTGGAGGCTGGACGAAAACAGGTAGGACCAAACCTGTGATCTGATTTGCTTTTTTTCTGTGAGTAAAAATGACTGACTTGCTTAGTCACACAATTACGAATGGCACTAAAGAGAATGGTGGGTAAGGGGAATCCCCACCAAACTGTCGCTTGGACTGTTTTAGAAGAGAAGATTGCACCACGCAGTAGATTTTTTCTAGGAAATGTCCTATGCATGTTTCCAAATGGTTGTGACAGAAAATGCCCACTCTGTAGGCTGGTTTCAAACACTTAATGGATATTTTCTTACTGATGCTTGAAACACATTATTGACTTACCCACCAACATGTACCCACACCCATACACTTGTGTTTGCACATACATATGTGATAATTATTATAAATTTTGTAGGGAATAACACGAAAATTATTAGATTCCCCCCCATGATCACATTTCAACTTGAAATATTCAATAAGAAATTAAAGCATTACAGCATTGCTTTCACATCTGTTTTCTTCCAAATTTAAATATAAATATTAATTTCTAACAATAAATGTCTGCATGATAAAGTACTTACACTGTGAAAACAAATGCAACTGTAAAATGGAAACTGGAATGGTACTTTAATTCCTTGCCATAAACTAGACCAAAAAGCTCCAATGCAAATAAAAGCCAACAGCACAGAAAATCAGTGTAAGGAGAAGGAATGAATCACAAAACCCAACACGTGGAGAAAATTCTACAAACATAATGAGAGTAATATGAGCAGGGCTGGCTCACTGTCAGGTTGATGGTCTGAAAAGTACCATTTTGATTTAGTATTGACAATGTATGCAAAGTATTAGGTTGATTGAGGGCTATGATTCCAATGTTATAAATCTGCAATGAATTTTCAGCAGAGTTTGTGCTATTCCATGAGGTTGCATGCTGGCCTCTGATGAGGTCAATGAACTGACCTAGCACATATAGAAATCAACAGCTGATCCAAGATTAGCATCCTTTGGTCTTCTCTCTTTTGAAAAAGAGCCATGGGGTATTATCACACGTACTTGGATAGGGAAGTTCAGATGGCTTCTTGCTTCTTCCAAAGGTGGATCTGATCCTTTGAAAATGAAACTGAATAGTAGACCTCTGTGAAAATACCAGAGGTCTCGGTATGGAGAGTTACTAAAGTATAGAGGAAAATATACACTCATTTGCCAGGAATTGGGGAAAGACACTGTGAGCAATACATGTGATATTTTTTCTATCTATTAATATATAGCAAAGGTAGACATATACATATATATTCACAGGAAACATCGGAAAGTCAGAACCACAGGAAACATACCAAGTTACAGTGAAATTGTTTTCTTAACGAATTAACTCTCTCAAAGTGCATTAAAATATTGCCTTAAAACTCATGGAAATATTTGTGGAAAAGGTTATGGAAATACTAGCATGCTTGTCTTATGAAGAATAGGGCTATTATGGAATCATAGAATATCCAGAGTTCGAAAAATTAGAGAACCTTGGTGGACCCCTTTGGGAAAACCTATTTTAATAAAATATATCTTTATTTTGTAGAATACTTCACATCCACAAAGGCACTCAGTGCTTATCAGAAGTCAGTATGTTGTACTGATAGCATGGGATTGATACCACTGCCTACTTAACATTAAAAGTCAATAGTATGAATGTTGTAGGTGCTAGTGCCTAAAAAGCCTAGGCAGAAGTATTTCAAAGATCTTATGAAAGAACACTGAAACAATTATGTTTAAATCATATCTTTTTCTATTTACCTTATTCTGCTTTTAGAAGTTCTTGTTTTCCATATTTTCCCTGCAACCATGATGATTAAAAAGTGATTAGAAAAAAAATCCCAACCCCAAAACTCTAAAATAAACCCTGCAATTCATGAAGTCACTTAAGACAAGAAGCTGAGGTTTTAAAGTGGAAACAAATACTGTAAGATCCATAATATAATGCTCAGAATCAGCAGTACCTTCAAAGGATATTATGGTGCTGAAAGCAGAAAACTATCAAGAGTATTTTATTCCTCATGGAAGAATGAAGAAGAGCTTGTGAAAATTGATGATTTTATGTAGAAAAACCTGTAGACACTCTGTGGTTATAGCACAGGTGGTATGTTTTATAATACCAGACATACTTTGGGTTGCCGCTGTGCCAACAGTTGTGTTGCTTTTCCATTGATCTGGACTCAAACTAAATATGAATAAGATCTGGAATTTTATTCTATTTTATGGGCAATAGATTTTAATCAGGAGTTGGATACATGGAAAGATTCTAAACAGTAGAATCCTAGAGTAACAACACACACCATGTCTGTCCATCACTGTCTTCTACAATGCCATCATTATTTTCCATACTTTCCATACTTCCAAGAAAAATAGTATTTCAGAATTGCACCTGCCTTTCTCATGGTTAGCTCCCACTACTAGCTTATAGTTCCTATAACATTCATACATGCAGACTGCATATTTTTTGAGATCTGGAAAACCAGTTTGTACCAATCTGAAATATAGCACAAGAAATAAGAAGGAATATTTGGTCTCCATTACATGTTGCATTCCATACACAATCAGCAATGAGAAAATGTATGTTACAGGTTCCTCTTTCCAGGCTCATAATATTATTCTTACAAAACACAGTAGATATTTTCTCCCAATATTATCCCTACTGATCATTGGAAATATCCTTTAAATCACAGAGATCCAGTGGTCACAAGGAATAGATAACTACAGTCTTCATGATGTGTAGCACTGATGAAGCATATAATTATCTGTAGGAGAGCGGTGGGTTGCTTATTTTTAGTTTTAGTTTTAGATTGGTTGTTGGTAGTGGTGGTGGTGGGGTTTGTTTTTGTTGTTTTGGGGGGGTTTGTGTTTTTGTGGGGGGAGTTTTTTTGTTTCTTGGTTTGGTTTTTTCTTTTTGCTGTAGGAAAAATGGGGAAATGACTATTACTATGTGTTTGCAAGGGTCAGTTGCAAAGTCATAGAATAATAAAATGATTTGGGTTGGAAGGGATCTTAAAGGTCACCTAGTTCCAACCCTTCTGCCATGGGCAGGGAACCTTACACTAGACCACATTGTTCAGAGACCTATTTAACCTGGTCTTGAACATTTCCAGGGATGGGGAATCCACAACTTCTCTGGGCCACGTTACAGCATCTCACCACCCTCACAGTAAAGAATTTCATCCTAATACCTAGTATAAACCTTCCCTCTGTCACTTTGAAGGCATTTCCCCTTATCCTATGACTACATGCCCTTGCAAAAAATCCCTTGCTGGCTTTCTTGTAAGTCCCCTTAGTCCCCCTTAGTCATGAAGCCTGATTATCAAGGCTTTGCAGAAATTAGTAACATGAATAACAATGCTTAGTAATTACATAGCACTGGTACAAGGTGTACGCAAAGTTTTCATCACTTAACACCCTCAAGTGTGCCAACACCTGCCCTTCACCCCTCCTCCCCAGCACTGTGAAGGAGGAACCAAAGGAGTTTGTTGCTTTATGAGAAAGGGAGACTAAGAGGTGAAGTGTGATATGAAGTCCGAACAACTCAGACGAGGGTTTTCCAACCATGAGCTGCTGCCTTTGGGCAGTGGTAATAGAGGAAGTCACTAAATTTTAGAGAAATAAAAGTCTAGTGGGGATCTGCTGAACTGGCATGGGCAGTTGCTTACTATCCACTCTGCCAGCACCCTGAGGAGTATGCATAAAACAAAAAATGAAAGGGAAAAAGCTGTAATCCGTGGTCATAGTGAAATTCGACATGACTTTGCAAGGCCATCATTGGGTATTTGGTGTAAGGTGTTGCATGAACAGAAGGGTGTGAAACCTCTGCTTTGCATGAAGAGTCAGATGACTTCCAGGCAGAAAAATGAAAAAATGCCTTAGTTTCATTTCATACTGTGTTTGGAAGAGATGATGGTCCAGCTGCGACCATGGACTCATACATGAGGACCACTTCAATTCTATGCAACACAAGACTTTTCAATACTATTCAGACATCTCTTTCAGCTAGATTAGGAGTAGTGCTCAGACAAAGAGCTTGTGTTAGTGCTGAGTGTTCAATCCTCTCCCGCATGCACTCAGTAGATATCTGCAAAGGAGCACAAATAAAATACTGGACGCTCTTACGCCCTTGGCTTTGTGTCACAAAGGGCAGATATTTTCAAGATCCCCCCCTGTGCTGTTTGTAACCCCACTTATTCTCAGGAAAGGCAGAGCAGAGGAGTCATCTAAACCTGGGACTTCTCTTCAACCTGATTCTTCACAGTTCTTGGGCAACAAAACATACACTGGGCAACGGTGACCTGGTTTATCACTTTTGGGTGGAATGGGTAGCAAAACAGGGCTGGAAGATACCTAGGACCCGTAGGACTCAAGGACCCTCATGTTCTGACCGTCTGCTCTAGGCTGTTGCCTAATTTGAAAATGATTTGCAGAGATGTGCTATTGTGTGTCAACAGAAGAGAACCTTATGGGACAAGTATGTCAAAATTAACATGACACCATTTATTCAAATGTAAGGGATTTGGAAAAGGGATCCTAAATTTCTCTATTAAAATACATTTCTGTCCAGTTGATGATTTATCACAGAACATTCAATACTTTATGTTATAAGCATCCTTGAATTATCACCTTACCTTCATGTCAACACTCCCAGCAATCAAGTTATTGTTTAATCAGTTTTATCTTCTTAAACTAAAACCAAGATGTGTGTTGCATAGTGCTACTATCCCAAGCAGATTACAGCTCTAATTGTTGTGCAGTACCACTGTACCTGTTGTGAGATATGTCCCATCTGTCTATGCTGCTGTTTCCAGAGAGATGTAGCATTCAGCTTTTGGGCCTGCGATTGTCGGTGAAATTTGCTTCTTGTCCCTGTAAAATGGCAATTCCCTGTTTGCAATGGCACTAGTAGCCTAGATCTCTTCCACAGATGGAAGTCCTCTTTCAAACTGCGGATGAAAAATATTTAATGGCATTAGTGGTCATTCGGTGAAAGAGGAGGAGCTGCTGAGGAACAGGAGAGCTTCTTGCAAGGAATACCTAGAGAGCCATGTGGAGCTGTGCTGAAAAGTTCAAATATATCTGTTGGAGGCCAGTTTAATTCTCATCTGTTTCTTATGAACTACAGATATCTTTCACTTCACCTGTGTGAACTGAGTCTGCAAGTGCCCTCTTCCTGGTCTACTTTTTTTCTTTTTCCCTGTAGGCTCCTGTGGGGTGAAGTTGTAGCCCCACAATTAAAGTTTGAGGTAGTGCAAAAGTCAGGCCGTGTTCCATGGGAGCAGTGGAGCTGGTTAGATGGTTTCCATGGACACGGCCTTGGGTTGCAGGGAGTACAAGGTTAAGACAGTTTGATAATGTGCAGGTGCTTGGATTCCTGGATGTTGTTGTAGGAATATGTTTGTGTTGTGTGTGAAGTTGGCAAGCTCAATAAAGGCTGCCTGCTGCGCTGAGCAGCCAGACATCTCTTTGTCTCACCATCCTAGTGTGTCTTGTGTGTCCTTCTTTTCCCCTCGGACCAAGACCTCATGACAGGTACCGCACGACAGGCTCCTTCTTTCTTTCCCTTTTAGGCTCCCGCCTACCCTGCATTAATGTACTGCAGCCTAAAATCATCTGATTTGTTTATAAGACTCTTCAGAGTAAGCTCTTATCTCATTATATCCATCAAAGCAACATTTAGTTCCCATATAAAAATATTTTCCTCAGCTATCATTAATACAGTTGTTTCAGGGTTCTGTATGTAGAGGAGATTATCCTGTCTGTCTTCTTCACCTGGGCTTATTTCTTCTATGTCTTTCATATTCTACACACATTAGTGCAAATGAATGGGAAGGTGGGGAACTTTATTATTGCCAAGCAGAAATTAATGTCTTAAGTACTAAATATTCTCCAGAGTAGACAACCATAGAGGAATTTAATATGATGCATAATTGCATCCATGCTAGAACATCATTTCCCCTGAGTTTAATTTGAATCTGGAGGTGAAGAATGAGAAAGCAGCAGAAATACATTTTAGACCATGGAAAGAATGCAAATAGTGTTTCCAAGAGGACAGCAGTAGGAACAATGTTTAAAACTCTAAGTGACTCTGAAGAATCCCATGGCAATCTCAGTGGTTACTTTAAAAGAATACCAGAAATGAGTTGACTGTTATACTGACCCTTTAACCACAACATACGATTTTTTTTTCAGATAGCATGTACGAATATGCTTGGGCCACAATGCATACTACTCTATCAGTATCATAATTTCCCCCCTTTCCCCAACCACGTGTAAAAGAAACTTCAGAATCTGCCACGTAAATGTTACCCATTGATGAACCACTGAAATTTTTTCCAGGACCATGCTTTAACAAAGATGCTTTCGAGGGATTCCCTTGTTCAGCCAAAAATGAAGGGTTCTTATCTAACACTATCTTGTCTAAATATACACAGCCTGTGATGACGAAATAAAAAAATTTTGAGACCAGGTATAAATACCACTGACAGGCAGATGAAGTTCATTCGTCTACTTTCTTCTAATAGAAGGTTTAACTATTAGAAGTTGAAGTACACTGCTCTTAGACCTGACATCTCCCAGAACTTATCTGAGCAGTTTAACTGAACCATCACCAAGAAAATGACTTTCCAAACCTACAGCTTGTTTGTTCTGTCTATCATCATGATTTATTCCGGACGTGTTGAAAATAGATTAAATCTGCTTCAACTTCAAGATGATATAGACAAACTTAAAGCTGATTTTGTAAGTATAGTCTTCCACTGCATTTCTCTTCTCCTTCTGCTTGTGCTTTACAGATCATCTAAACTTGAGCACTGCTTGACATACTCAGTATGTCCCAATAGAGGGTAATCATTGATTACATGCAATATTTTATAACAAGAAATCTTAATGCAATGTTTGGAGAATGTATGAATATTTCTTTAATTCAGACTAGATGTAATTTACTGACTTTAAATTTTATGTTAGCAATGTTATTGGGGGGTTTAGTATCAGTTAGCAATATAAAAAAAATGGAGATGAACTTTTGCTTTAACAAATGCAATTTTGTTACTTATTATTAGTAGCAGTAGTGTATTGCCCAAAGGTGGTTCCTACTTCTTATTCTTTTGCATCTTCTAGTCATTCCAATTCCACATCTGTGACTATGATCCAGCATTGGAATGTAATCTGGCATGATATTCTTTCTTTTCAGGTAGAGTTTTGGTAACTTGATAACTGTAATGTTATTTCACCAGCCTTCATCTAGGAGGCATTAAAGTAGTTCACAGTTGAATTCAGCTGGGATTAGTCATAGAGATAGCAGACCTATAATGGAGTTACTTCTAATTAACAGTTTTTATTCTCAATATATTTTTGTTGGGTTTTTTCCTTAAATGCATGAAAGCAACTGCAACAGTCTGCTGCTATTTTCAGCGCTGATTTAGTCATAATTTTGTGCAAACGACAGTTGAAATTCAGCAGTCAAAGAACCACCCTGAAGTGGTGAAGACTAGCGTGATACTTCAGTGTTTGCAGATTGGTCGGAAAGTGGATGTAAAATTTATAATATCTTAAATTTGTTATTAGCATAGACCAGAGAGAGTCTCATTAGAATATGTATAACTCTGTTGAAGACATCCTGAGCCATGGTGAGGTTTTTGCACTGACATTAAAACTCTGGTTCACAGCAGGTGCTCCCCACCTTTCAGAAGAACAGAACAAAGTTTGGCAGTGTGGTCAGCATGGGGAGCCAATCAGGCTAGAAGGTTTCTGTCAGCCTGCAAGTTTTCCCTTTGCACTCACTGTATTTAAATTACTAAGCAGACAAAAGAAGGAAATAGTCACTGTTGTATACAAAAAGAAAAAAAAAAGAAAAGACGCAGAAGAGGAAGTGATTCAATTTGCCTTTCCTTGGTAGGAGAACTGTATTGCTCTTTGTTTCCTAGAATCTGACACAGTGTGTGGCTAACATCGGATGGTTAAACACTCTCCCTGTGAGCTTCTCAGTAGCCCACTAATCTTGCCTGACTGTGGGCTACTGGGCTATTCACCAGTTCTATAAACTACAGTTTTGTAGCAAAATTAGTTTGTTCTTTTTTCATATGAGATTTTACTAAGACTGCATGAATTTAAGGCCACAGATGACTACATACTGCTGGACTTTGACTTACCAGAAGACATGCCAAGTTCAGGCCTAATGATTTTCTAGCCAGTTGCTGTGTTTATGAGCTTTTATTTTCATCTGTCAATAGCAAAAGCATTTGGGAAAACAGATGCTTTCAACATCTCTATTTAGGTGAGCTATAGCAGGAGAAGCATTGAAAAGCAGACTAATGCCATTTCTGATACTAGACAACCATGCAATGGATTTGGTGCTTAGAGAAGTGAAAGCATTGTGATAGCTATAGGCCAGTGGTACAAAAATCTGGATTTTACTGCTTATTTGATTAGAGAACAGAAATTTGCCTAGTGATAAGTATTGTTTGTATAACAGATATGTTTGTTCTTTGTTGCAGAACTCAAGTCGTTCAGATGTAGGTGATGGCGGACCTATCTTTACGGAGAGATTGTCAAACTGGACAGAAGTGAGTCAGAAACAGATATGAAAAAACATCTCAGGCACTTTGCAGGGCTCTTTTGGTACAAAGCAGCTCCTAGAACCAGTGTAATTAGCTGCGGTAGAATGAACATGAGCAGAATTCCCTTCGGTAATTTGGAAATCAGAAAAAAATCCCCATAAAAATGCTTCCCATAAGGGTCAAGGTGCTTTGTACTGCACCATGAAATGATCTGAGATACAGACAAGCCCGGGGGTGATTTACAACATCTTCTTTATCATCTTGTTTCAAGTGGCAGTGAGAACCCCTGCGTGCTATGTTTTATCTTCATTCGTTTTCCTGCTGATGAGCACTCACAGACCTTTCCTTCTGATTGTATTTTTCAACAGAGAAATGAAAAAAGGATAATCCTGAGTCAGATTGTTTCCATGTACTTGAAAATCCTTGAAAACACTGACAAGTCAAAGGCACATGTCAGGAACATATCTGAGGAGCTCCACACTTTGAAAGAAAGCCTTTCTGATGGCTCAAAGAAGATGGAATATCTGAGGAACCTGACAGAGCTTCAGGTAAGGCTCTTCCTTTGCCTCCAAGGCTCATCACGTTATATTTTCCAGTTGTGATTTGAGTGTGATTCAAGCCAATAGTGCTTCAGCAACCCATATGGTAACGCTTGTCTAGCTCACTTCACACTGGGAAACCTAATGTTTCCAGCTACAGGGGCTGCTGCACGTCTACGGTGTGGGGTAGACCCCTGAGTCTTGCTGGAGTTTGGCACAAAGGTGCTGACAGCACCTCCACTCAGTCTGCACGCCAGAGCTGACATTGACAGAGCTTTTGTGGTTTAGAAATTGGATGGGAAAGTTGTGCCCAGCTAGGGCATGTTCTATGGCTTTGGAAGCACTTGGCTTATTGAGCGAGTGCCAATGGCACAAACCACTGGCCTCTGCAGAGATCTGCAGACAATACCCCAGTGGAGTTAGCTGCTTGTAACTACAGAGTAACTCTGTTTCACAGAATATGGCTGGTCTGTGGCATGTTGCAAGGTAGCACAGAAAGTGAAAAACAAAAATCTGTGACAAAGTGGCTCTTTGCTGTAGGAATTAGGTAGAAGAGTAATTGAAAACTGCAGATGTCCATCGGTTTTACTCTGGTAGCAGGGTAGCCTGTGGGATATGATCAGTAAATGATTATAGCTCTTGATATAACTTTTGTTCCATTTGTTTTTTACTTTTAACAGGTGAATGACTCGAAAATTCAACGTAAAGCTGTGAATGAGCTGTTCAGTGTCTTACAAAAACTGGGGGATACTACAAGTCCTTATGCAAGAAAAAGAAGCCTGTTTCAGAGGCAGTGCAAATGCTAATGCCATCTTATGTTCTTTCATACTGAGTTACCGTGCAAATCTTGTTGTGACATACCTTTTTTTATTTTAAGGTTTCTGTTGAATTTTTATACATTTATTTATTAATATTTAAGTATTTTAAATAATTATTTATAAAGAAATACTGATCAAAGTATTTATATGCCCTACTACTACGTAAGAAATAACTTTGTCTTAAAATTTTGTCTATTTGTTATATGTTTGTTGACCTGGAAATACAGAATGAGACAATATTTACCCAGTTTCCATATGGAAATCTTGAAATGACATGATACGGTACCCAGCTTTCCATCTGGTGCTGTCTTGAGAGAGGGTTGTTACAAGATTAGTCTTATCATTCATCTATTTGGCATGGAGACACAAGCACCAATAGGAGGAAGTTACTGTACTCAGAAAAACATATTCATGTCTGCTTACTACTAAACATGCCTAAATCTAAATCAAGGAAATAAACATGTTTAAAGATAAGCAAATGCTGATGCATGTTTCTGAAGGAGAGTATTGATGATTAATTGCTAGTATTTACTATCCTGAAGTTATCAGTACGCCAGACTACTTAACACCTCAAGGGATTGTGACTAACTGTACTGCACTGACTTAACTTCAACTCTCAGATTAAAAAAATTGCTGTTTTTTTTTAATACTGAATAATTTAAATGTGTCTGATGTAATTTTATTTATTTGGAGGTAGTAGTATGGAAGTTTTTATCCTAAGGACTATATTTTTGTACTGGAGTATTATTAAAAACTTTGGATTCCTCAATAGAAACATCCTGAAATTTGGATTTTAAATAATGAAATAATAAATACATATATATATAAATAAATAATTAAAGTGTGCTTGCATGTTTGTTCTCCATAATCTCTGTAAAAAGAAAAATGCTAATCTTGCTCTACATTGTCACAAAAGATGGTCCTGCCCAGATATACAAAGCACATTTTGTTTCCTCCTGCCTGTCCAAGATTTGGGAATGGATAATGTTTTTAAAGAAATCTGGCAGAAGGGTCTCAAATTCCCAAGTTTTACTTGTATCTGGATAAGGAAACATAATTTTGCTTATAAGAAGGCATTGATACTTTGAAATTTGTTGCTACTGTGATGTAAAATAAAAGACATTTCCAAATTTCTCTGCAAGTCAAAGGTGTGGAGCCTAGACTGAGATTAGCCCGTATGCCGGGCTCTTTGCGGATGATACAAGCTGGAGGCCTGGGGCTGCTTGGGCTTTGGCTACTCTCACGGGCTTGGGTTTGGGCTTCTAATTCTCAGTTAATCAGGGATTTACCAGGCAAATTATCTGGGGCAGACTGGCTGGGCTGACTGGGAATGGGACAGATTTTCCTTGACATTCCTGCCAACATGAGACTTCCAACTACCTCCTGAACTTGAATCAGCGAATTCCAGAAATAGCACCCTATTGAGCCCAAGTTTAGTTAGAGTAAGTCCAACAAGTTTAGTTGTAATTGTTGCAGCCTTTCTTACTCCCATGGGCCCAGCTGTCTCCCTTGTTGCAAGATACCCTCATTCATATTCTCATTTGACAGTCGTAACAGAGCGACTCAGTAACCCTGGAGACTTGAACTGGTTTTGAAGGAAACAGCTGTTCTCGTTCATGTTCATCACAGACATGCATGTGAGATGCAAGTGAAATAACTCTGTGGGATTTCTCCTGTTCCAGGACTAACCATGAGAAGCCTCAGTAAGCATTTAACATAAGCAAGGTGTCTTTCTGTGCTCATGCTCTTTCATGAGGTATGAAGAGACTAACTGTCTTCTGGGGACACACAGCAGCTGTAGCAAATTCTATTGAAAAAAATATAAAAAATATAAAAAGAAAAGAAAGAAAATGAAGAAGAAGTGAAAGAAAAACAAGAAAGAGAAAGGGAAAGGGAAAGGGAAAGGGAAAGGGAAAGGGAAA